GAATTGTTTTAGATTCAGGGATTATTGTCATTGGTCATTGTTATAAACTTTCCTCCTTATTTTCCTGCATAACTTTAGCAGGTATCCACTATAAATAGCAAAATAAATAATAGCTCGCGGCTATAGATAACGCCACCTATCTCGTAGCTTAATACATAGTCTACCAGGCATTCATCAAACGTGACTGACACACCATTAATGTACCCAGGCCAGATACAACCGTTTTAATGATACTCCGATGAAACTTCACAAATGATTAGCTTCTCAATAATCTAGGAACGTAGGACTATCAATCCTCTAATACCATTTTAGTTGTAATAGCCTCGAGTTGCCTGTTTATGGCCCATTTTCATCAAATAAGGCAGAAAGAGGTCCATATGTCTTGGTAGTTAACATTAATCCTTGTTCAATGTTATATTGAAAGCTAGTTACGTTCTAATATTTATTTTGCTGTTTGTCCTGCTTTTCGATCTTTAGAATTCAAACAAACAAGTACGTGCACTGTGAATCTTATATTTATTGCCATTACGTGAGTGAGGTGATTGTATCTGCAGGTTGATTGTGAATCACTGCTACATTCTGACCCTCTGAACGCATACGTCGGCTCACAAGAGCCCGTGCTCATGCTAATGCATTGAAATGACATCACTAAAATGCAAAGCATCGTAATTGTAATGGCTCCCACTGACACCGCACTATCTGCCATCGCGCCCAGTAAGTGGACTGATACTATCGACTACTGGACAATGAAGCGCATCACTACCGCCTCTTTCATTCTCGATATATTGCTAGTATTGTTTCACATATCGATTGTATCATTTATTTATGTGTGTTTCTGTCCATTGGCTTATTCACATTCTTATTCATCATTAACCTACTCAATAGGTATAAAGAAAATTAATAGTCCCTCAATGATTGCCTCAGTTATAGAACGCGAGCGCTGTTTACGTATTTCAAAATGATAGTCTGTCGACTTCGTTCATCTCTGACATCTAATTTATGTAAGACCTCGGAGTCTAACCAACCATTTGAGTCGCATGATTGACGGGTGTCGAACAAAACACGTTTCGATTCCATAAATAAGGTTCGGGTTTAGTTTGATGATGGCACTGATGCTGATTACACCAGTTGTACCTCAATGATTGATGACTTCCAAGCGCACGACACCTAAGCTAACCCTTCGACTGTTATTTAAGTAGTTTTGTACATTTATTTGTGCGATCCACAAGTAAACGGCGGCGCGGCGAGGGCGTCAAGACTCAAAGCACATTAAAGTCAGAGTAATACAAAAGCGTATAAATTAACTCGGGACTTCGGTCCTAAATAAACAAAGTAAATTGAATATAATATTTTAAATTCAATAGTACTTTTATCGTGCATCTGCAAAAGTAACGAGTGTTTAATTTTCGCGGCGTCGGGAGCTGCAATAAAAACGTTTCGCTATTGAATGGGAGCGCGTAGGTAGGCGGTAGTAATTGATTACTGTGGCGAACACGGTATCAGCTTATCGGTGCATCGGAACGTACGCACAATGTCCAATAAACTAGGTGATGTTATCTGTCGTTGTAAATGAATCAGTTCGGCTTCACCTCGAAACTCTAGACGAGGGACGGGGTGACGGGTACCTCGCACAAATACTACGGATCGCCAGTTAATCTCATTGTTCTGTACGGGTTTATTCCTGACCTTTGCCTGAATATATTTCGTATCCAATTGCATGAACGCTCGTTACGAATCACTGGCTCGTTGAATAATGTGTAAGAACTTAGTAATTCTACTTTTTTTGCACTGGCATGAAGGGATCGGGATTAATTCACCTCCCTATAGGTAATGTAATGTAATGAATTCGTATATATTGCATAGTACATTGTTACTAGGCAGTTAAAATAGTGAATAAAAAATATGTTACAGGTATGTTAAACAAGATGGTTGTTTTTGTTCGAAGTGTTAGTCAGAGGCGAAAGTATAATCATTAGTACAGTCATTTTTCAGCTATGCAAAATCGTACACCCAAAATTTTTCTCAACGTACGAGTCAGGCTAAAAATAATATGGATCGTAACCTCAGCCGCCACAGCTTCATCGTTTACAACCTTACTGAGACATTAAACACGACTTGCTAAATACCTTTGACGCCATGATTCAATAAAACAAATTACCGAACTACATTTTTCTCGGCTTCGAACATAAAGATAAAGAAATCGTTGAGCAAGTGAACAGATATAAATTCCCTAAGCTTAACCGACATTTAAGTCGCGCTTGAATTGAAACGACTTTTATGCTTATTGCTGTAGATATTAGCATTATTTTACTTTAAAGAGGTAGTAGTACAAGTTTTTTTACGTTAACGCGAAGCGTTTCACTTTTAGCTCTCTGATTGGTTGGTTGATTTTAGCTAGCCAATCAGAGCGTGGAAGGTGGTAAGGTGTGGACAAGCGATAACGGAAAACAAGCATACACTAGGCCCTCATTCTTACAGTTGTTATATTATGTAGCCTGTGTAAGGATATTTGTTTGACTGTGCCGTCGGATGAGACCGAGGTGCGTAAAGAGTAATTCCAGTGACAGATATAGGAGTATTATGCGTGCTGGTCTGCGCCAATGTGCTATATTCAGTACCACCACGTGCTATTTACGATTAGATATGGAAATTGGTATAAAATTGTTAAATAATATGCGTTTCTTCAACTTTGGTTTGCCTTTTAAACCTGGAGATTATAGCTAAGGAAAATGTGCGTATTACAAACCACAAATATGTTAAGGATTTCACTAAAGTCGGTCTGTGTTGATACATCAAATTCGTTTTTATTTAAAAAAATATCTATATCAAGTGTATGCAGTGTCACCCCTTATTACATGGGACTCCTAACATAAATAGTGAAAAGTGGGTGTTACATTGTACAGTGGCACTAAGTGCCGTAATGTGCACTTCTGCCTACCCCTTTGAGTATAAAAGCCGTGCTGTTATGTTAAACTTGATAGCCATTTCAGCCGGCATTAGTAGGAGTAATATAACTTCCAGATGACAGTGAAAGCTATTTACAAGGCCAAATATTGACATTAACTTAAATTTAGAAAACAACTTCACCAAACCATTTAGGGAGCACTGAGTTTGATAAACCCGTGGAAAGTCTAAGAGCAATAAAAATCTTACATTAATTCCATCCAAAGGTTGTCTGGAAGAAATCGCATTCTGCGATAAGACCGCCCATTGTACACATTCTTTTATGTTTATTTCTTATGTATGTTTTTATGGTGTACAATAAAGTGTAAATAAATAAATAAATAATTATCCCAGGGCAAGCATGCATAACATTTTGCCGTCAGTACATAAATTAATTCGTTAAAAATATAACTAGAAAATGTTTTAATACAAGTTTTAATTCTCGGCAATGTATGTGCCTACATTCGTATGAAGATTTGCATTCGTTAATAACTTGTGGCCTGAAGCCGACTTTGATTGAGATGTGAAAGGTTGTGTCTACCTGTACAGCTACAGGGGGTTTCAGAATAAAAAGTGCAGAATTTAATATGTAAATATGGCAATTATTCCTTCGAAGGATAGGCAGTGGTGCACTACAGTATGTCTACATGTCAACAGTTATGTTGCTAGACATATTTGATACAGAACAAGCTTTGTGAAATCTCAGGTCCAGTTTCAGCTATTATTCTTTGGCAAAAGAAATAGATTTTTATAATAATTTTATTTAGATGTCTCATTTCCATCAGTGGTTTGATCCAGGAATCAAGTCTAGGACCAAGTCTATTTACTTGGCCATCGAGCTCACCACCAGGTAGTAAGAGATGGTTACACTGGGCAATAACAATAGCAATCATCGTTTGGTTCTAGACAAGTGTGAAGTGAACACCAAGGAGTACTTACCTATGTACCTACATGTAGATAATGCGGTAGTGTGAGGAAGATGAATCATTATAACCACATTACCGATTTATTTCGTCACACACGACTACTCTCGGACATTATTTTTTTGCTTCACTGAACACGGTACGCAATGTGCTCGATTATAAACATTTACGCAAAATTATTGTGATTTTACTGCGTTACAGAGTTAGGAACGCGTACATCAGATTTTAAATGGTCCATTTTAAATAAAGAATTAAATATGCATATTTTTTATATCTAATTGTTCTATAAAAAAAGGCTTGATGTCATACCTGGCATCGTCCCTATCTGCAGCAACCGTAAAAAGATTTGTTTTGATGAAATGTATCTGATGTATTTGCAAGTGGCTATCCTTTTTTGCAGATTCATTTTTTAGAACACGCCTTTCATCATTATCAGCGTGAAACTGTTCCATTTTGGAAAATAATTTGAATCAGGAGATTCTGTAATAACTTGATATTGTGATTTTAATTATGCATTTGCTATTTCCTGAAGCTGTACAGTATAGACGTCTAAAACAAATGGAACTTCTACGGTCATTTCAATTAGAATCATACTGCCAATTAGCTATGATGGACAAGGACAATGTACTTGGTCTCTTTATAAAATATATTGAATGCACATAATTATGGAAAATACGAGGATATCCCTACCTATTTTCGTCCACGTGGTCGGTGGCCACGATACAATTTATTCAAAACATCTTTCATCCCGACTCCCATATTGGAAGGCTCAATGTTTTGCATAATACATGCATATGTTCCAGTGGAGTTTAGTGCCACTTTTTATTTATGAACTTTAATAAACATGTTATAGTGTACTCTGAATCCACGTGCCATCTATTGAAAAGTTAAGAATACAGGATTGAATTTTTATAGGGAGTAGCGTACTAATTTATGTACATGAAAGTGTGAAAAGTGAATATGAAATCTCTAAAATGCATTAAGTAAATAAATAGGTATGCTTAGAAAGTCATTCTCTAAGTATTTTGCACCTTTCAAAGTAAAGTATAGCTATAATATAACTAGTAACTACCTCAATCCCCCAACAGACTACATCATACAGGAAATAATATGACAAAAATGAAACAACAATTCTCAGATAATATTTATTCCGGTGCAGATGGCGTCAGCGAGAGCGCGCGTGAGTTGGAGTCGTAGGCGCAGCGCTGCGCGGTCGATGCGCGCGCGCCTCCCGTACCGAGCACACTCGCCCACCACCGTCGTGTTGCACGACTCCTGCAAACGTGATTATAAGCTCACAACCATGCCCTTATTTATTAGAGAAATATTTGAAAACGTGAGCTAAATATCCCATGTTATTGCTTGAACAGTTATCTGTGAACACGGACCAGAAGTTATAGGACTGCAATTAGATTTGTGAAACAAGTAATGTAGGATTTACTTTTGGTTACCGAGGGGATATTTGACTTGCAATAAGACGTCACGGTTGGTAAGGCTTTAGTGCCTTAAAGCATTATCATGAAGTAATAAAACAGCAATTATATGTCTCACCTTGTAATGATTGAGCTGCACTTCTTTAAAGGGCGCTGACCAGCCAACGGACCCTGACGCCCCGAGGCTTTGCAAAGGGTAATGGTTGAATGCTGTTAAAACCTTCTTAGTTAGCATCCAGCTTTTGCTATAGAATCCTATCGGACTTATCACTGCCGAACTCACTATGTGTTTTACTAATTTAGGTGTTGGTAGTTCAGTACCGCACCTAGATTTGTACTTATCATATAGCACTTCTTCGTCTTGACTATCATCTATGACTTCATTACTTAAATTATTTGAATCTACAATTAATTCTATTTTATCTATTTCTAAAGTATCATTATCTTTAATCCGTACATCGTCTCTTTTGATATAAATTTTACTTTTAACACCTCTCCCATTTGAGCTGTACTTATCAACTTCTTGCATAAAATCAAAGAAAAATACATTTTGTATCATTATGGAGGAACGTTCGGACGAATTCCATCCATAGTTATTAAAACGATTGAGTAACTCTGGCCAGGTATTAGCAATTTTTGGCAGAACTACTTCATCAATATCTAGTGGAACAATGTACTCAGATTCTTTTACATTTCTATATAAACAATCATTATAAGTTAAAATATGGTCTCTCCGTCGTTGCCAGAGAGATCTTCCTGACTTATGTTTAATAGGAACATGGAACAGTCTAACTAGACCCTTATCTTGATAGTGCAATAAAACCCTCTTTGTCTTCTCTGTGACTTCATCTACATACATATCTATCAAATCCACACCGAGTATTTTATTTGTTTCGATCCATTCTACTAAGCTTTGTGATATGTCTTTATCAAAGTTCATGTCTTTGACACAAATTGTGAACGTTCGTGATCTTTTATTTGTGTCTTTGATGGGTTTCAATTCAAAAGCATTAGAAGGATTGTCACAAGGTTCTGTCACTACTGATACGACTGATGGTCCAGATAGAGGTTCAGTGAGAGGGCAAGACAGTAGCAACGGTGTATCCACTTCTGAAGGTGTAAAGTCCCACTTGTGCCACCAAATTTCCAGTGGCTTCGCTGCAACAACTTCTACCGTATCTTCAATCAAGTTTCCGTTTCTCGAACGCGTTTGACAGAACAGCGCGTCTTCCGTTGAATAATTACGTCCTGCCGAAGAAATGCAAATTTGTTTACAGGAAATAGAACATAGAAAGACATATAAACACAAAGATTATTATTACGAGAAAATAAAATGGTTTCTACAGTTAAGTGAGATGTGAGCGAACGTAAAGAACTCGCCGGCACCGTTTCAACGATCTTCCCGACTCATAATTTATATAGAGAAACTCCATTACTTGGACTTATATAATAGTAATTTGTTGAAATGATTTCCTCGGGTACACTTGCGGTGCTTTGCGAGGAACTGTCATTAAAACGGTGCTTCAATTACAGGCTTGCCTGATCAGGATGGTACGCCTTCCTAGTGGATACAGCGAGGAGTGCAATTCCCTTTTTGTACTAACGTTTTTATGGTTGGATGAGTTTTACTGTTGTCTGCGGTATTCATAGTTCTAATAAACCATTATAGTAACGATGGGATTTGTAAGTAATGTCTTTATTTATGGCTTATTTCATTACATATTTATTTTCAGTAGCAATCTATGTTTCGAAATACAAACACCTAATAAATAAGAAATAAATAATAAAGTGGAGTACCTTTCTTTAGGTTGTACTTTAAGTTTAACAATTTCAAATAAAACAGTTAAATAACAAATAAGTTAAACTTGAACCACTGGATTCAATAGAGAGTTTTATTTAGCCGCAAAAAGGGCTATAAAATTGGTAAACAATCTTGCCAAACCGAACAGAAAATGTAAAAGCGAAAGGACGAGTATTTAATCCGTCTCTCATTCCTCACCACAACATAGGAGTTGGGTGGGTTTATCTCGGCCGGGAAGGAATTTACACGACGCGTACGCTCGCCTCCAGTGACAAATGAGTGTGAGCTTATCGGGCTTCGCGCACTGTCGCCGGCCGCGCACTTTCCATCCCAGCTTTTGTTACTTTAAATCCTTTAATGTGTTATAAAAATACTTACATAAACTATACTTAGGCCTACTGTCCAAGATACGTCATTTTATCAATGCTTGCAAACTTGGTTGCAAGCAAGATGCAAGCATTTGTCATTTGTAGATTGCTACAAAGGACAAATGCTTGCATCTTGCTTAGAAACAATGAACACTACACGAAGTGGCAATTGTAGGGTGCCTATTATCATTTGTAGGTTGCATTCTCTCGTCAAATGACGCGTCGTGGACTACTGTCCACTGGCCTTAATCCTAGCACCATTTTAATGAGACATCCTACGTGACTTATTGGTAGCACACATCTTAAAGCAAAAAATCCCCTTGATTAAGTTGCGAACGTTGCCACTTTTTGTTTTTTACGCAGAGAAAATAAGGACTGGCGATCGGCTATCACAGACTCCAGTAATTATGGCGTTGGTTTATCAGTACTTGAGATTTCCCTGATGTCTTTATTGACCGAGATTATTTTGTTTACCTGGTTTTTATTTACTTTTTATAAACAAGTGGGCGATGCAGTAAAGTCCTTAGTGAGCCGTCAGATGGAAATGATCTTAAGAGCTACTGGCTGTATTTTGGTATTCACATAAAAGGGGATTGCGAGGACAGTTTAAGCTTGTAAAATGTTATTTGTAGAAGAATGTAAGAAATAAAATCCCACAGGGTTTGAAATTATGGGGCGTGTCTTAAATTTCGTATTGTCCGGTACGTTCCCGCGTGTGTGTTTATGTCATAAAATTTTATGTAGATAATCATATTTTTAAATTGATTCGCCAGAATCTAGAGTTGTTTGCATACCTCAATATGGGTTTAGAGTAAATTAATATAATCATTGTGCATCGTTAGGGTAGGTATGTATGAGTAGGAAGAATATAATTACATGTGTATGCGCACTTGCAGATTGGTAGGACGAGAGGAAGGGAGGACGGGAGGACAGGAGCGCTCGGGGCGACGCGCGTGCGATCCACTACAAACAAATATAACTTAATTGCTGATTAAGTTTATGTATAAAATTAAATCTTAAAAACGGACGAAGTCCATATTTGCGGCTGCATGGGGAGCAACAAGATTGCATCTTGTAAACGAGAAGGAATGCGAAATCTGATGAAAGAGTAAACTTAACATTTACTTAGAACACATTTGATATCTTAAGCGGCTTGTGTGCTTTTAGATTTAGTCCGAGTTCATTTGCATACGCATTTACGTATCTAATATCATAAACAGCTAAGCATAGCCAGTTTGATTACAAGTTGTGCTAAACCTGTTTATTTTCTAAGATTATAGAGCCTAATTGCGAAAAAATGGCGTCGCGTGGAACTTGAATAATTCATATATAGCGTACCTAGGCAACTCTTAATTAAGTGTCATTAACCCTTTACATGTGATGATGTCCTGTCAATTATGCATTAGCTATGCACCTTAGATACTTTGTTGCAGGAAGATGGCTACCAGAAAGGGGGAAGATAAGTGATAGTTTTACATAACTGCATATTACGTTAGTGGTATTTAACTTGGTAAGTTAGTGTTTAAGTTCGTTTAACATAGTCGAGATGGCAGCACACGTATTAAGCTTGACAAGTAGTACTAGGTATGTGTGTCTGAGTGTTTATACATGGGGATTTTATTTAGGAAGTCTAAGTATCTATATGATCTTTAGTCAAACGTTTTGTCGAAATGTATTTGTAATTATTATTAGGTACCTGTCTTCTTTCCCTCATTTCTAACGTCTCGAATCTTAGATATATTTTAATATATAATTACCATGGAAAGTAGCAAGAATTCTCACGTAGCGTTGCGCAGTACGGTCGTCGTAATACGCGGCGTACAATGATACGCGCGTACCAGCTACATGCTGCCACTCCAGCGCATTCCGCCCTTCACCAGGCCAACTGCGATTCTGGAACAAATTAAAAAGATGATTGGAATACAAGTTTATTAACTATTTAATATTATCTACGTTTATCGCGGCTGTGATTGGTTAGATAATTTCTATGTAATTGTATTACGTCATATGGACCCCCATAATGATAATTATAATAAAGTCGGCCTTAGCTACAGTAACTTTTATTGTAATCGTGTGTTTTTAGTCTAGTGCCTTAACACAAAGTGTAAATCTGGTTACGAGCTAGAGAAACCTTAGTTTTTATCATGGATTAACGAACTATTAATGTAATAATGAAGTTCATTTCTACAAATTAATGAATAGTCATGTAATCCCCTTTATAAAGGTCCAATTAAATCAATTCAATTACACATTTAGTATTCTAAAGCGTCTGAAATGTATATGACATTGTGACCTAGTCACGACTCAGGCGCATATTGTTAATATGTATGACATACGTACAAGAGACGTCTTATTAGGAAGGACCAAAATAATTTGAGCTCTTCCTGTGCTATATTATGATATTGTGAAGGATCTTATTATAATGGTAATGTAGGTAATGAGTATATACTTTATATAATATGTATATGTGTTACGTTTGTTCTACATACAGGTCATTGTACGGTAATGTGTAAGATGCAAGTGTTATCTTCATGAATTCCTAATAACCTAGTTTGCATTAATGAATCTAATATAAATAATGGCAGCCCCATAAAATTGTAATGACGTACGAACATGCAGTGTTACTAGTATTATAATTATTGTAAGCGCAGGATATTTATGTTATCATCGTCGTCAATTTAAATTAATTTTCGTATCATTTACTTTTTGCGTTACGGCAACACTGGCCATTATTATACTTCTGACGATACATAGTTCGATATTTGAAAATAATAATTTTAAAACCGGAACGTCAGTTATTTTTTAAAATGCTGGCGTAGCTTTGATGGATGATGTATAAATTAGGTAATTAGTTAAGTTCGTTACTGTCCATCAAGTGTCTCATTAGTAAGGTAGGCGACCGGATATTAAGGATTCTTCACGGTGCTCGTCGAGGCAGCGTTACTAATCATAATTAGTTATTCGCGTTTCATTGGCTGTCCTTATTTTACAGCTTGGCTCTGATTGGACTATTTTATTTTTGCAAAAAAATAATTGGTCACTTTAGAGTGCGTTGATGTCTAATGCAGGTGGCTGTGAGGTGCAGATTGTAGCGAATTCAAAGCTTACCTACGATTTAAGAATAATTACAGTTTCGATTTTTAATGACCATAAAACATGCTTAAGTAATTACTGTTAATATTCTGTAATATTCATGTATTATATGATATTTATATTTGAGATTAGCTTTGCAATTCTGATCTAGACAAATTAGAAAGACGATTTCGATTGAAGTAAAAAGTTAATGGGGCCTGCCGTATTCTTCGTCCAATAGGGAATTAGCTAGTGTCACACCATTGGACGTTCAACATTTGACAGATGCTGTGATTGGACAAAAAACCCCTTACATTTGCGCCATCTGGTGAGTCAAACACGTTAGCCCTCATTGAATTTATTTTTGTTGTGATTGTGTGGTCGCCAATGTAAAAAAAAGATTATTTCTTGGAATTGCAGCACTTACTTCTCTTGCGTGGTACCTACTATCGTTGCCAGAGTTAAATCTATATTTACATATATAAAAGAAAGTCGTGTTAGTTACACTATTAATAACTCAAGAACGGCTAAATCGATTTGGATGAAAATTGGTGAGGAGACAGCTTAGAACCAGTAGACGGACATAGAATACTTTTTATCTAATGCTTTTTTTACTTTTTACCGAAAATCACAAACGGGAATGGGAAAAACGGGATTGTGCGTACGAAGTCGCGGGCAGAAGCTAGTAACTTCTAAATTTATTGCAACTATAATTAAAAAAAATACGCAACACTATTGCAAGGTCATAAAAGAAATATAAACAAATATACTTTGAGTTTAATTCCCACAGCACTAACTATTATTTTACAATGATAACGATATCGGTGTGAACAAGGCTATAAAATCAGAACCAATGCGCTTGCTCAGGCTCATTGACTTTATATAAAAGCATTTGAAACACATTAAAGTTTATAGTTCAAGTTCTTAGAATACTTAATTAATTTGTTCTAAAAATATTTTATTATTACAAATATAAAATTTTATAATATATACGAAAGTAAACCCAGCTGTCGTATAAATTAAAATTAAAATTGATTGCAAAATCAACATAGAAGCGCAGGAGCAGGAATAGTTGCGAATGGAAAACTATACCAATAAATTAATTAAATTTTTATTGAAAAATGTTTATTCAAATTAAAATATTTATCTATAATCCTTTTCAACATCCTGTTAATTTAAATAAATTAATGTCATAAGATTATCTATATATATAAAATTCAAAGGTGATTGACTGACTGACTGACTGACATAGTGATCTATCAACGCACAGCCCAAACCGCTGGACAGATTGGGCTAAAATTTGGCATACAGATAGATGTTATGACGTAGGCATCCGCTAAGAAAGGATTTTGATAATTTCCACCCCCAAGGGGGTAAAAAAGGGGATGAAAGTTTGTATGAAACTTTGTCAGTTTTTAACTGATCGGGTTGAAATTTGGCATGCAGATAGATGTTATGACGTAAGCATCCACTGTGAAAGAATTTTGATAATTTCCACCCCCAAGGGGGTAAAATAGGGGATGAAAGTTTGTATGACACTTTGTCAGTTTTAAATCGATCGGGTTGTAATTTGGCATGCAGATAGATGTTATGACGTAAGCATCCGATGTGAAAGGATTTTGATAATTTCCACCCCCAATGGGGGTAAAATAGGGGATGAAAGTTTGTATAAGACTTTGTCAGTTTTAAACCGATCGGGTTGAAATTTGGCATGCAGATAGATGTTATGACGTAAGCATCCGCTTGGAAAGATTTTGATAATTTCCACCCCCAAGGGGGTAAAATAGGGGATGAAAGTTTGTATGAGACATTGTCAGTTTTAAATCGATCGGGTTGAAATTTGGCATGCAGATAGATGTTATCACATAGGCATACGCTAAGAAAGGATTTTGATAATTTCCACCCCTAAGGGGGTAAAATAGGGGATGAACGTTTGTATGAAGCTTTGTCAGTTTTACACCGATCGGGTTGAAATTCGGCGTGCAGATGGATATTATGACGTAAACGTCCCTTTAGAAAGGTTTTTGAATATTCTCACCCCAAAGTGGGTAAAATAGGGGGTGAAAGTTTGTATGATACTTTGCCAGTTTTAAATTGATCGGGCTGAGACTTTGCATGCATAAAGTTACTATGACATAGGTATCTCTTTAGAAAGGATTTTGATAAATTCCACCCCTAAGGGGATAAAATAGTGAATGAGAGTTTATATAAATCTTCTTAGCCGTTGAATTTAGAATCATTGAATCTTTTTGAATTACATTCGGTAAAACGATGATTTAGGACCTGGGTAACGTATGATAGTTTTTTCACAGATGTCTCTCGAGAACGGGAACTATGCGTCAATGCCCCAGAACTCTCTAACCCTTAACCACTGAACTTATTCTAGAAGATTCGGTACAACAATAGTCGATAGAATAGTTTTTATTACTCAAACCTTACGTGATCGGGCACTGTACTGGTAAGATCCCTGCGGGATTATTTATTTATTGAAATTACGATAAATCATTTCAAAATAGGTAAATCTTACTTGGGCACTGAATTGATTCTGGTTAATTCTGTCAGAAGTCTTTAATCTACGCGGACGAAGTCGCGGGCAACAGCTAGTTTCATATATTAATGTAGTATTTGATACGATTTTTTAAATTTAATATACCATTGAATCCTAGATTGCCGATCCATAGTTCCAATATTGCTGTGTTCTCACAACGTAGTGTGAACATTAACCATAGCTGGTGTTACAACAATAAATGAAACAAAGCGAGCTGTAAAAAGTTAATGACGGCAATAAAATGTAATAATACACCGACGCGAACTACGTGGCCTTATTGTAAGGTCCAAATATCGGTCGCATCTGTACAAGTGTACAATTTTATTGTAACTAACTATAATAATATGTAATCAATATACATCTTCACCCACACCTGGCTATTACAAAGCAAAAAGGTTTTAAGGTGCCATGTGTAAAAAGTAAATCACATCTTACTTAAAACGAGTCAAAAGTCGTGGGCCATTAATTTTTTGTTGTATTATATATCAATTTTATTTCGTACAGACATTTTTGCTTACCATGATAATGACAATCTTTATTTGTCATCGTCTGTGGCGGCACTAAGTAATATTGTAGATGTTACTTTATGGTCTAATTCCTAGGAGATGCGACGTGATGATGTTTTGGTCCTAAGTTTCTAGACTGCACCGTTTTGTCAAAGTCATGCTCTTATAGGTAGTCTCTTATGACTTAACTACAATGTACGGCCATCTTTCTTGAAATTTAAAAATCGAAGTCCGGTTCCATGTTCTAAAACTACTTTTAGAGCAAACGTATTTTGTTTGTTCGTCCTATTTACAAGAACTGGAAGAATGTGACGTTTCTAAGGAATTGGTCAGGCTTTGTTCAAATAAGTTGTTAACAGTTTGTATCAGTTTCTGGAGGATTTATTCTTACTTGGGCACAATTTTAGTTTTAATATCATTAGGTACCATCCCTACTCGTTAATGGTGAAGGCAGATCTATGAAAATGAATTAACAAAATACTTGAATGTAGAAATAAGTTGTATCGAATACCAACAATAAAATTCCAGTAACTACATAGTTACCAGCTTGTAAATAACACCAGCCCGGTTAATAATGAAACATGTTTGTTAATTGCAATATTATCACTTATCATTAGATTAGATTAATCTGATCATTCTGTTCTAAAGGCGGGGGTATTTATTAATGGTAGAAGTTAATACCCGCTAAGTAAAGCGCCAAGTGAAATATTCGAGCATTAATCGACTAACTACGAACGACTCGAGTAGTTTTTATTCCGAAATACGTTATTAGTCTTAGTTGAGTAGGTTGTGTGGTTATTTCGAAAAGAAACTAGAATTTAAATAAAGAGAGGCTAGTAATTATAACACCACATGTAACAAGTTATTGACTACCGTACACATTGTAAGTGTTTACTTATTACTAGTCAGTTCCACGCAATCCATTATTTTTGCCGTCATACCTTTCTGAATACGCATATTTATACATTGTAAATATTCCCATCGCAGTATGAAATGATGCATGCACGAGCACGAGATCCTGCCCATAAAGCAACTGAGGAGCCACCGACCTCAGGCAATTTACCGGAAATGGGCATCTATGTATTTCTATTTATGTATGCAAATATGCCTGGTTACCGTATCGGAACTATGCAGCTATGAGCCTATCTGCCCAGCTATCTGATATTATAGCCACACTGTAGGTATGTGGAGCAGGAGGCAGCGTGCCAGTGGCGGCATACTATTAGAAATGCCTGTAGACGATATTGATTTCGATTTATTTTCCATTCGTGACCAACATCGGAATAGATTATCGCTACAAAAAACGAGTTGAAATAAAAGCATCGAGTGGTCGCGCTGCGCGGAGGCTATCGCCGTTTGTGCGATACCTCTCTACTCGATTCTTATCGTCGACAATTTGTTTATAGCAATCATTTTGTTTAGATGACGTGAGAAATAAGGAACGATATGTTTTTCTGTCTATCTGTCTGTACGTGGACGTGGGCTCTTTTGTAACTCTCACTTTAGTTCCACCGTGCTAGTTATGTCAACTTTTTACATTATTAGCGAAGAAAAATGTTTACTTTTGAAGCAAACCGAGTGTTTCTGTGTATTAAAATACCTTTTTGAGGATATCAGATGGTTCATTAAATGTTGAGTGCTGCACAGTTTACGGTAAGTTCTAAAAATAACTGCTGAAGTGTGTTGGCGGGAAGAGGAAGCGATGCATACAAAGTATACGCGACGCGACAATAGATCGTATTTTCTCCGAGATGTGTTTTCTCATCCATTATTGTCTGTATATTTGCATACGCGATAATTATGTTCATTTTATGTAAGCTTTAACAGCTACTTGTTAATTGAATCGTGTTCCTCGTCGTGCATACTGGCGAGCTATTTCAATTTGTTAACTGAATGCATTCATTTTATTATGTTTAGTTTTTGTTTATTGTTTTTTATGGAGATTGGACAGATTTTTTGATAGAATTCATTATTAGTGACATTGACACTGTTTAGTTACCGTTTTCATATCAGCCAGGTAATAAATGGTTATTTATCATTTTATTCGTGAGTTCTATAGCCTTTTACGCTCTTTTTTGTCCATTTTGATTTTTGTTGCTTCATTTACATAAGTTTTGGAACCGAATACTATATTTATGTTTTCATCAAATGATAAGAAAAAAAGACAATAAAATTATAATGTGCTCAGCTTCGCATATTTTACGAAGCATAAGTTCATAAAAATTATCATTAAAATGTGGTTTATCTCCGGATTTGCCTCATAAAACGTAAAATATCTATACATTCACCTCAGTTGGTTTCGGCATTATTTTTTGTGATGATTATATTTCTTGCACTTCAAATAGCTTTTACATAATATGTTCTGAATATAGAAGTAGTTTTAAGGATAAAGAAAAATAATAGAAATCGTTACCGTTATTAATAAATTATAAATTATAAGGTTTGAAAAGAATTGAAAGGAACTAACGATATGATTTATCTTGGGAAAAACTGGTAAACTGTCACAGGTGAGCGGTGTGGGGCGGTCCATCTCGGCCTGCTTGCCTTCGGAGTACGCCACGATGGTCCTCATGGTGGATATGGCGCGCCCCAGCTGAGCCCGGCTGCTGGTCCACCGTACCCCTGCGTGCCACTCGTTCACACATGCTATCCAGCTGACGCAGAACACCGTCACACCCGCCAGTAAATACTTCACTACGCGCACGAACTTCCGCCCGTTCACCGGCATCATAGTAATTATGCCATTACGATAATTGATAAAATAGTCTCATTCATCGACTGTAGGAAGCTTCACGTGGTGCGCGTGCGTCGTCGCGTGCTGTTGGCTGGGTCGCAGAGGCGCGCGCGCATGCGCTCTGGCCGCGCTACCATGGCGGACTGCGCGCAATCAGCTGATAGCGTATCAACAATGCGTCCCTTGCGGCTAATCGTTCTAAACGCCTGGACGTGGAAATCTAGTTTTCTATACCAGTTTGTACTTGCGATTTTTCTTTTGCAACTACGCGACGTGAACGCACTTCTAAACACGACTAGTTTTTCTATAAAAAGATAAGATTGTGGCAATCTCACGCGGAACAAGAAATTTTATGGCAACCTAAGGGGCAGGACTCGTTCCACGAGCCATCTGTTTAATTACGTTAGATCGATTATACATGGCAGGCTGTAATTATGGATTGACTTATATGTCCATGGGTTTGTAATATACGCGGATGTCGCAACGTGTGCCTTACAAGTTCACTGAACTTTATTTCTTAGAATAATTCAAATATAGACAGTTGGACACTTCATACTACACACATCGAGTGCAGAGCTTGAGTAAACATTAAAATAACATTCTATTTATATTCAACACAAGAATAATCTGCATTTACACAAAGTCGTAAACTGCAGTCGTATACCATTTTACTATTGAAGATGCCAAGTTAATTTCTTACCGACAATAGGACATAATTAGACTGAATTAGTTTTCTTGGTAAACGTAACAATAAACAAAATGAAATGCATATTTGTAGCTGAACATTTTCTCTCACTTCGAACCTGAAAGAAAAATAAAATTAAACAGAAATAAGAATAGCCATGTTCTCAATAATTATACATGACGCCAGTACTTGTATGCTCGTAAAAGTCGTAAATAACTTACGACAATTTAATAAACACATCAAGTTTTAAACGCTTTTTCAATAGCTCCTGATTATATCTGTAGTATTAATTTGACAAGTGGCACGGCTACTGCCTACACCATTGTAATTGCTGGACGTATTTATAGTGGGTCTCTTCGCTTAACCTGTAATTAAAATGCATTATCAAATCATTTATTGTCACCGATGTTGTAAAATTATTATTTATCATCAACTAATACAGGGATATGGTTGCTTTTATTACATTTGGTATCTAGTGTGTTGTAGCGAAATAGTCCTTCGAGGCATTAATAGACGTAAGTCTAACCCACGTGTAGGCCAAACAACTTTGAACTTTTGTACGGAGTCTCGAACTAACTAACATTACGGACAGAAGTTAGAACTTCTATGAGTAAAACCTCTTCAGTAAATAACCTTCGCGAAGTTATGAAGATGAAATTTTAATGCAGTTTATGTATCCGTTTGCTATTCGATTTCTGCGTAAACGCACGCTATCGCCAGCAGGTTTTATTATGCCATGTTATAGACATTTTATGATTCTAAGCTCGAAGGATACTCTCATACTCTGGTACCCTGGTTACCCATCCAGTGCAATCAAGCGAAACATAAAACGATTTCCTGCGCAATCGCAGACAACAACTTATATTCCCAGAACGAGCCGTCTATTGTAGTTTCAAAAAACAATGGCCAAGAGCGAGTGGGATGTTTGTGAAGAACTTTATAATGAAAATACTTTGAAAAATCGTCGTTTGGTTCATAAATGTAATTTTAAAGAGTTAAGCCAAGAGGTGTAAGAAGAAATTAATACCTAATACAGTTATGAAGATTTAAAAAAGGATCACATGACAACGGTAGAACAACTTGAAAATTATTCGGTAAAAAACTCAGTTCACTTATTCATAATTATTGTTCAAAAGACACAACTATATGACAAACAAATTAATGAGTTTAACTTACAGATTCATGGAGACCCTTTACCTACAGGACCCTAAAAGATAATTCAGCATTTTGTGGTTTCAATCCTGGTGTAAAAGATCCCAATATAACTTCGAAGAAATAATTACGTGTTAGTAAAGTGAGTGGGTTGTTCAATAAAGGTAAATAAAGGTTGAACCTTAATGTTGTTCAGTCGTTTGCTTTTTATCTTTATAAAGACAAGCAATTTCTCAAGCTTCGGAAAGTGATTGATGCCATTCTTGACTTCAGTTGAACTCTTTTAATGAACAGAATGAATGAAGTATTTATGAGATTCTATTCTGTTGAATAGTTCGTAAAAGTATGTTTAAGTTTTATGGCTTTAAGACTTATTTTTGGTATGTATTTTTTTTATGGCATAAGCCGGTAAACGAGCAGACGGATCACCTGATGGTAAGCAATCGGCGTCGCCCATGGACACCTGGAACACCAGAGGCGTTACAAGTGCGTTACCGGCCTTCTGGGGATTAGGAGTTTTAGGATCCTTGGGGATTCAGGGATTGGGAAGATTGGGGAAGGGGATGGTAATTGGGCCTCCGGTAACCTAACTCACACGACGAAATACAACGCAAGCGTTGCTTCACGTCGGTTTTCTGTGAGGCCGTGGTATCACTCCGGTCGAGCCGGCCCATTCGTGCCGAAGCATGGCTCTCCCACGCTTAAACGTACATATATTTTTCGTTTTTATTCACATAGACTTTTGCAAACATCATCATGACAATCAGCGCGATTTTTTGATAATCCAACTAATTCTACTTTCGGAGTCAATAGCTATTCCATCAAGCCAACCAAAACAAAACTAACTATGAATTTTGTTTTAATAAATTCGTTGCCCGATCCTAGAGTTTTCTCCTGTATCGTGGGTGCGTTTACAAACATATAAGATCACATACACACGACACCCAGATCCACAACTAATATAAAAAAATGTGCTATTATTTAGTCACATGACCATTGAACCTACACTTACATTACAATGACAAAATAAACAATACTAAAACCCTCATTTTCTAACACACGGCGATATCTTACACAATCGCAATAAATATGAGCTTCGAGCACGATGCTGAGTGCTAGTGTCGCAGTTGCAACGCATGCGCTATTGAAATGCAGGCTTTATCGGCGTGCGCGCATCTCGTTCGTTAGTCGCATGCGCTGCGCCGTCTATTGAACCCACTATCGGCGTTAGAGAGGCAATAACCAGCCAAGCTGTAGTGTTCTCGCTTTTATTTCACTTGCAAATGCTCGTCGAACTTTAACATGCGACTTATAATGAAGGCTTCTCTCTCATTAGTGTAACAGTCTTTAGCACTTCGTGTGAAAACCTAGAGGCATTCAGGCATACCATGCTAAATATTTGCCACACTCGTGCTAAACGTTGGATTTTATTAAGTATACAGAAATAAGTTCCTATTTTATGTTTGAAGAACATATCAATGCTTTTAAGGAATATTATGATTTGTTAAGATTAGATTAGGAGGAATAGTAATATTTATGTCTGATAAATATAGGAAATTACTTTGAAACAAACCAGTAAGCAGTAATTAATTGATTGTTACTGTACTGGCTTTAAAAGACTGAACCCTAACACGTATTACCTCTATTAGATGTTAACTACGCAATAAAAAATAAAAGCAGAATAAAATTACAAAGTAGGTAAGTCTAAACCATTATTTGTCTAAGGAGTTTTACGAGGGAAGGCTTTTTAGATCAGAGCTTAGGGCTAGTTCACACTGGAGATATAAGAGGTGCGGGTTAAAGTCGTGGCTCTGCGTTTCATTGTTAAAAATGTATTTAATTGGCGTCGTGTGTTGCAAATTGTTCGCGCGTGGTGGGAATGTTGATGCACTCACGTTCTAATACTACGACCAGCCCTAGTATCATTCTGACACTTTAATTGGACCCTTTGGGCTTCAAAAATATCAACGAGCGTCACTTTTACTCAGTTTTGTTGAGATTCTCACGACGATTTTATTATTTTATTTTATTACTTTTGCTTGTAAATTGTTGTGTTAAGCGTTTCGCGCATAATTAGGCAAGTGTTTTTATGATTCCTTTTCTATTTATGTATTATTTCTGAATACTTAAATGAAAACGTAATTTGAATTTGAATTCAAGCTGCATTTCATAAAAATTGTTTTCAATTATATCTTACGTGATTACGAATCAAATCTACATTTGCTATAATCAAGAATCATAATCAATAAGTACTTAATTGGGTGCTGCAATTGTTCTAAAATGAATTCTCCATTATTAACATTGTTAAGTAAAGGGTCAGGCTTGAAAACATATACTTTCGTTGAATAAATAATAAGTGGGTTCGATGCAAGGAAGGTGCATAGTTAGTGCTTGTTTAATTATACAATTGCTACACTCATTACACGCTGTTTTAGATTACAATAGCGCATGCATAACTAATGACATTTGCCTAACATGGCTGCCGTAGAAAAAAAAAACGTTCATACAGTTGCCATTACGAAAAACTCTGTGTGCTTGCATAAGGTTTGCAACGTAGAAAATGTTTTGCATTTTATTCATTGAACAATTAATTTGTAATTGGAAGGAAAGGAAAGGATATTATTGCCGGCAGTGAAAAAAGTTTATTCGCTAAGATACGTATTTGATGTTGATGCGTGATTTGATTGTTGATGCGTATTTTTCTTATTTGAATATTATTTCGTTTCAATCAGTAAAGTAAGGAATAAAAAAAATAAAACAACGTTTTTAAATAGAAAAAGAATAACATGTTATGAGGCTTAATATGGATAAATATTATATTAAAAAAAATTCTTAGTGATATTATTTCTAAGTAGAAATGAATTGCGTCTTTAACTATATTCATAGAACTGTTAATCTTGCGAGATATCTTCACTCAGTGTTATTAGATTTAATCATTTTCAGTTTATGATAGCAGTTTCTAGCAAATAAAATTTATATTGAGATAAAAAATTGCTTTTTACATACGATTTTTAGATTTAGAAAATCTTAATCTCGTATACTAAAAGACTACTAATTTTAAGTTGTTCTTCAATATCGTGCCATCTCTGTCATTTTGTAGTGACAGAAATATTCTTTGTAACTACTTAAGCGCGACTTAAAATTGAGTGGCGGTTGAGTA